AATTACTATGGGGGATGAATTACTATATGGGGGATATGGGGAATGAATTACTATATGGGGGATGAATTACTATGGGGGATGAATTACTATATGGGGGATGAATTACTATATGGGGGATGAATTACTATATGGGGATGAATTACTATATGGGGGATGAATTACTATGGGGGGATGAATTACTATAGGGGGGATGAATTATATGGGGGATGAATTACTATAGGGGGATGAATTACTATATGGGGGATGAATTACTATATGGGGATGAATTACTATGGGGGATGAATTACTATATGGGGGATGAATTACTATAGGGGGGATGAAATACTATATGAGGGATGAATTAATATGGGGAATGAATTAATATGGGGAATGAATTACTATGGGGGATGAATTACTATAGGGGGGGAATTGTATTAATAGGGGGGAATGAATTACTATATTGGGGGGGATGATGAATTACTATATTTGGGGGGGATGAATTACTATATGGGGGATGAATTACTATGGGGGATAAATTACTATATGGGGGAATTACTATGATGAATTACTATATGGGGGATGTATTAAATATGGGAATAAATTACTATAGGGGGGATGACTATGGGGGATAAATTACTATAGGGGGGATGAATTACTATATGGGGGATGAATTACTATATGGGGGCTTAATTACTATGGGGGATGAATTACTATGGGGGATGAATTACTATGGGGGATGAATTACTATATGGGGGATTACTATGGGGGATGAATTACTATGCTTCTTACTATGGGGGATTACTATTACTATGGGGGGAATATTACTATACTTACTATGGATGACACATACACATCATTCATCTACTCTTGGTCCGGCCCCCGGGTCCAATATATGAACCCATTGCGGCCCTCAAGTTAAAAAGTTTGCCCACCCCTGTTCTAGCCGCTGGCATCCTAACTACCAACGACATCATCAGTTGATAAGGAGGATGTCAGCTGCCTGTGCAGCATCCTAGTTTGACCTTCCCCTGCCCCCTCTCCATTAGTGCTGGGGTCACATTAGCTCAGTGATAGCGATAGCAAAAGTGTGTTTGCATTGGAAGAATAAATCACCTCTAACGTTGGGGAGTCCTACATGTGTGGATTTTGCTGCGTATATATAAAAACTATTAGAATAGATTTTCACATTTTTAGAATGGGTTCCCTTTTTGAATTATGGACAGCCTTGAGGCACTTCATTTTAGAATGGGGTGCCTCAAGAATGTCCATAATTTTAAAGGGAGCCTCGGGACTGTCCATAATTTTAAAGGGTGGCTTGACTGAAAAAAGGTTGAGAAATACTGGCCTAGATGTCTCAAAGTACTCTTTCCTGGAATTTCACTGGATGATTGATTAGTCTCTGCCAAACAGGCAGCCACCTGCTGGACATTGTTTGGATTGCAGAGGTTCATTGTGCTGCGTGTTTGGAGGCCATTTATCTTTGCCTAATATCTCTTATTTTTCCTCTCATCCTCTGCAGTGAAAGAAAAAATGCTCATAACATTGCAACAGACTTTTATTGCTTGTAGAGGTGCTGCTATATGTTTATAGTCTATGTGGGGTTGATTTACCAAAACTGGAGAGTGAAAAATCAGGTGCAGTTCTGCATAGAATCCAATCAGCTTCCAGTTTTTTTTTTTTTGTCAAAGCTTAATTAAACAAGCTGAATTTAGAAGCTGACTGGCAATCATGCATAGCTGCAACAGATTTTGCTCTCTCTAGTTTTGGTAAATCAACCTTATTTTGTTTCCAAACTTTTTGTTTGTTTCTGATAGAGTAGCAAAGGGTAAAAAGTCCTATCAGTCTGCTGTTTGCTGTCTGTGTCATAATTGTGGAGATTCCCTTTCACTTCCTGTCGAGTAATTGCAACAAGAAGTGAGAAAAAATGTCTCTACGGTTTAAAAAAAAATCCCTTTTCTAGTCATTGTCCCCAATAGAAGATTTTATCTACCCTCTTGGATGTTCTATGAAATTTTGTCTCATTGGCAAAGGGTGTGAAGGCAAATAGAGAGGGCATACCTATCTAGCAGGGAAACAGATAATAAAAAAAACTAACAGGAATTTTAATCCTACCCTACATTATCTAAAAATTTTAAAAAATGTTTTGAATATACACACTTTACCAAAAATGGAAATGTTTTAAATATGTGGCTTTGTATTACTGGGGTTTGTTTATAAAACAAATGGAAATAAGTTTACGACTATGAATTTATATCACAGGGGTTCATTTATGTATTTAATGAAAATAAGTTTACAACTATGGATTTGTATCTCAGGGGTTCACTTATATAATAAATCGAAATGCGTTTTCAACTATAGATTTGCATCACTGGGGTTCATTTATATATTTAATGGAAATATGTTTTACAACTATGGATTTGTATTTTTTGGTGTTCATTTATGTAAGAAATAGAAATAAGTTTGAAGTTATTTAATCACTGGGGTTCATATATAATAAATGAAAGTTACATGAATTTGTATCACTGGGGTTCATTTATTTGAAAAATAAAAATAAGATTATAAATACGGATTTGTATTACTGGGGTTCATTTATATAAAAATGGAAATAATTTTACAAGGGATTTGTATCATTGGGATTCATTTATATAAGAAATGGAAATAAGTTTACAAGGGATTTGTATCATTGGGATTCATTTATATAAGAAATGGAAATAAGTTTACAACTATGACTTTGTATTATTGGGGATGGGTTGATTTATATAAGGAATAGAAATTGTTCTACACTTATGGATTTGTGTCATTAGGGCTTATTTACAGTATATATTGAATTCAAATAATTTTACAACTATGGATTTGTATCACTGGGGTTCATTTATATAAGAAATGGAAATAATTTTATATCTATATATTTTTTTTTCTTTCTGGGGTTCAAAAATGTACTTGACTGGGTTTGGATATGGAGGGATTGTCCATAGCATCCAGTAAGATCTGTTGATTTCATTTTTTAGACTGCCCCAGAAAAAAAACAGTTGGAATGTAATGTTCTATAACCTTAAGGAAGCATCAGTATATTAATTAGTCATTTATTGTCAGTTCACAGAGGAATTTAATGTCAACTACCCTTGTGTTGAAAACTGTTGTATAGATATTTACACTGCACAAGGGTTTGCCAAAAGTTGTTCACCATCTGTAAACAGAACATGATATTATGCCTGGGAGGAAGGGGGGGTATTTTCCTTTTTCTAGTTATCTCATTACTCTTCAACTATTTTAAGAAGGAAAAAACAATGTTAAAGGCATACTTGAATTACTAGTGTAGATTTGGCTACATGCCACTATTCGCCTTTGCCCCTTCGGCAAGTTATGTTGTTTTTCCAGTGGCGGGCACAGAGAGTAAATGCTGGCTTATGTTAAAATCTTTATTTTGAGTGCTGGGAATGCACAGCACATTTTGCCAAATGTGGTCTCACTAACTGTTTATTTATTGGTAATGATTCAGTATGTCAAAACAATTTAAGTCTAACCACTTCAGGAGTGGCATGTATACCCCCTTCCTGCCCAGGCCATTTTTTCAGATTTCAGTGCTATGATAGTTTGACTGACAATTACTTTGCAGTGCAACAGGGTGCTCATTTGTATTTTATATCATTTTTGTGAGAAAGATAAAGCTTTCTTTTGTTGGTATTTCATAACCACTGGGATTTTCATTATTTATATATATAAAGGGAAAAAAGACTGAGAAAAAAAAATTCTCTTGCTTTCTAGTATAAAAGTGGAAAGTGGACATCCTAAGGTGACCTATTTTTTGTCACAATTTTATAATAAATTGAGGTGTGCTGAGCCTTTAAATTTGCCCATTGAAACCTGTGCAAGTCTTTCAATATTAGTGGAAGACAGGTGAAAGGATGAAAAGCTGTAAGGTAGAAATTATATATGAGCTGAAACTGCATTGATAAACCCAAAAAAACACAAAACATTCTACATTTTATAGGTCAGTTGCACAATTCATTTTGAAAGTGAAAATGCTCTACTCCTTTAGTACATAAACCCCACCATGTCTAATATTCACCAAGACAAATAGAGGGGATGAAAAGGGGTTCTAACACTTTGTTTGACAATTAGCTTTAAGAAAAGCAGAGCAGACATAAATATCATTTCATTTTTATTTTAGCATCGACTTATAACTAAAAAAAGTGTGGATGAAAAAAACAATAAAAAATCAAGGCAGTTTAATCTTTGATAACCAATCAAAATCATTAATTTACTGATATATCTACAACAAAAGTAAATCTGATTGGTTGATATAGGCTATGGCATTTTATACATGAATACTCTTGCAGTTCTGAGAAGTCTAATTATGGTTAGTTGTATTTAATGTCAATGTAATCTTGTGTGGAAGTCTTGTTTCAGCTTGTGCAGTGTAGACAAGGAACAGTTTGATTTGGCTAAGCGAATGAGTGCTGATGTATTAGATTGTAAGACACTGTTCTTCGGCCTCATTACTGCAGAAATGCAGAAACACCGGGATGATTCAGGTCAATAGTGCTTGCAGCTATGTAAAGAAGCCAAATATCATTCAAGTAATGATCCAAAAATTTCCTGCTGGCAAATTCACATTATGTACATTAATATGTGCCTTCAAAAGTGTTAGTCTAAATCCACTGTAAACCAATATTGATAAGAGTATTAAAGTGGAGCTCCAAGGAAGTATTAAAAAGTCATGTCAAAGATCAGTCATGTAATTCATAAATTATTTAAATGCTGTTTTTGAGTACTGAATATATCTGTAAAGGAAAAGTTCACCTTTTGTAGCATTTTGCACCTGTATTCCAGGTGTAACATGTTGCTGTTGCAGCAGCTACGCACCCCTCCCCCTGATCCCCCCATTGTGACAGCGGGCCAGGGATCATCCTCCCTAACTGCTGTCACAATTAAAAAAAAAAGCGGCCATGTGGGGCTCCATGCACTCAGTCATGTCATTCATTCACAGAGTTCTGTGAATAGGAGAACTACAACTACCGTCCTACCCAGGGGTGGACTAACAACTCATGGGGCTCCCGGGCAATAGGGGATCATGGGGCCCCTGTGTCCTTGCCCAAACTCAAAAAAAGCCTAGGGGCATCTCATGGGGCCCCCTACTGTCCCCGGGCCCTTGGGCAGTGCCCGAGTTTCCAAATGGTCAGACCGCCCCTGGTGCTACTGTCATGCCCTGGAAGATGCAGGTGTGACGAAACGTGTACGGCGGAGCCTGCTCTTGCATCATCATGGAACTGGAAGTCTGCTGGAGGACATTTTTCTTACCAGACCAATAGTTTGTTTACAAGTGCAATTGCGGCTTTTTAATGTGAGTGTTTTACTGTTTTAAATAAAATATTTTTCTGATGGTTTTAAACTATGTTGGACTTTCTGCTATTATCCTGTTTGAATCTAATGTATAAATAAGTAATCAAGGAATTTCCAGTGCTGAGTTATATGCTGAGTACATCTTTTGAGGATCATATAAGAAGAGACCACCATGGGACTATTAGCTGATGCATTCTGTGACCTTTCTATAGTTAGAGGGTTATGGATATCTGGTAAGCCTGCATGGTGTTATCTGGTGGAGGACTTTTTGATTGTCTTTAGGATACCTTCATCTTTGTTCTCTAACATTTGTGGATGTGGCAACGCTTCCTTACTTTTTCTTTGAACATGTATGTTTATAGTTTCACATTGGGACTTTCTCATGTGTTTTTTTTGCACTGTATATTAGTCACAAATATTGAGTATGATCAGTTTTTGACAGCTTGTAGTTCTCAATGAACTATGAACTACCAGGGCACTGGTGAGCACACTAGGTAGTTCATTGATGCTTCCTGCAATGCAGTAACTACCTGCCTGTATGAGGTCCAAGCAGAAAGAACCACTGACAGTCTGCAGGTGCCTGAGGTTGCACCTGTGTTCTGCTGATCGTGGGTGCAATGCTTTACAGGCTCCTAGGAAAAAATAAATAAATGCAATTTTTTTTAACCTGCAAAAAGAATATGCATTTATTATTTTTCTACAAAGGTGAATTTATCCTTTAAGGCCCCATTCATATCTGATTGGAACACACTAAAAATGTGCCAAAACACACAATGCATATTTGGGTGCTATTCATTGTTAATGGCACCCAAAAATCACAAAAAATATGGGTGTTTTGTTGTGCAACAAAATGCCAAAAAATGTGCAATAACGTACCATTCATAAACACACCAAAGTTGGCTCCAAAAAGGGTACATGAGCTACTTTGGTGCATTTTTGGAGCAGAGAGCAGCCCATTCAAACGAATAGTGTTGCTCCGTATCATTCATCACCTATCTTCAAGATGTTTTTTGCCTTCAAGAAAGCCATCTATTCAATGAGAAATTGTACCTCAAGCTCAGTTAGACAACAGGTAGAATTTCCTATGGAGCAGAATTGGGGCAGAATTGGGGCTCTTTCTCCACTTCATTCATTAAAAATGTCCAGAGGACAGCTTTTAAAACTACCTTCATATTTGCCTCCCATAATTCCCCGCATACCAAAATCTGACTATAAGTGAATGTGTCAACATTGTGGGTCAATCATCCTCTGTTGCATTGTATGCTGCAGTCAAATTGGCCCTGGGAACTGGAAGGGGGTTTAGGCTCACATTCAAGAGATAGAGAACACAAAGAGGACCTCAGATTTCCAAAAGCCATTAGAAGGTGGTCCGGTTTTATGTGGCATGCTCTGAAAAGTGGTGTGATCTTCAGCTTTGTCTTGAATTGTGCCAGGGTTATCTAAACAATCTGAGTACCTAAAAAAATTGAAAATAGTTTGACAGGTAACACAGTTCACAAATACTTTTTCCAAATTGTGTTCAGATATTTGTTCTGAGCTTTATTTCACTCTTCACATGGCTTCAGAGTAGGGTCAACAGCAATAGTAATACTGAAGGACAGCATATGTAGGAATAAAAATGCCTAGTTATACTTTGATTGTGTTTTAAATGTGCATGATGTCCAATGACTCTTGACTGTCTGTTTTTTTCTTTCATGTAATCATTTGACCTTTATTGTCTCTCTAAGTAATATAGGAGGTGCAAACAACACAGCTAACATTTTACAAAATCTGCCCCATCATTTATTGAAAACAGACACTATTGATAATGGTGGAGTCTTCGTGTTTTAATGATAGTAAGGAACTTTCAGTTTTTTAAGTAATTCAGCAAAACATAGATACAAAAAGTCCAAAAATTCAAATAATCAATAATGTCCAAAATAATTCATCACCAAGTAAATCCACCACCAAAAATGGTTAAATAGAACTCACCAGAGTAATATGCTGATTGTTGAAAAACTAGCATATAGTACTTGTTATTCTGGGAGAAATGAATAATATGGTGACAACAACACTGAAGAAATGGGGGATGAACTCCAACAGATGATGTGCTGCAAAGTTGAAAATCCACTCCAAAGGTGATTTAGTATCCAAACTGAGAGATGATCAGACCGTCACTCAAAAGAAAAAAGCCAACAATCATGGTGCAGTATGTTTTAAAAAGCATCAAACTTTAATGAAGAAATGCACTTAACAAGCAAGGTGTCCAGACTGACACCAGTATAGACAGCATGTGTGATGAATACAGCCGACTCAGACCCAGCCAAACATGCACATGCAACGTGCAGACAAACCAGGAGTATTCTGAACCTCACATCCAAAGGCATCGCCCTAAACTTTTCGTCATCGACGTCCTCACAGAGCGGCATGAAGTTTTGTATATCCTATAAGTTTATAGGCTAGGTTTTGCAGCTTACTGTTTTATATAATTTCCGTGGCGCTGGTTCTTTATTTATATATATAAAACATAGATACACTCTTATCAGTCTGTCGGTAATCCCTAACTTATAAAATTCAAAGCTCTGTATAGATATCAGTAGGCGCTCTGAAGTTCATGACACCAGGCTTTGTGACCCAGCTTTTGTCTTAAATAGGAACTCTTTGATCACATGAGCTTCTTTGTTTAGGCAATGGAAGAGAAAGTGAAGAGATGGAAAAGAGGTTGAACCTCTGTATACAGAAAGAGCTAACCCTGCCCATTTTACTTCCCGCAGCATTGTGACAGTGTTCACCAGCAAATCCAGGCTGTTATTCTGGCAGCTGGAACTTGCTTACTATAACAAAAGCAGACCTTGCTGCTTCTATGTAAATTGACACTAGAGAACAGCATTTGCGGTGTCAAAAAGATTTACAATGTAGAAATGCAATTTTGCTATACTATGAGTACTCTGACTTTTTCATAGCATTCATAGCAGATCAAAATTGTGACCTTTAGTTAATTAACTTGAGGGTTAGGGACCGATGTGACTGTACAATATATATATATATATATATGTAAATCACTGCATAAATTGACGGCGCTATATAAGTACCTGTAATAAATAAATAATAAATTGATTAACCTTATTTGACTTCCCTTCTCTTCTCTTCTTAGCCATTCTCTTGCTGTTGATTATTTTATTATTTTAATTTTTTTTACCATTATATTTTTTCAACTTTTTACATTTTCAGTTATTGCACTTATTTTATTTGTAAATAACTTCACAATGCTTTTTAATAAAAAATCCAATTTTAATGTCACCTAAAATTAGGTAACTTCTAGAATAATATTCTATAACGTCATGGTATAAAACGAACTGGTCAAACTAGAAAAAAGAGCATTTGTTTCTTTTGTTTTCCTACATCGTCTATAGATCACAAAAAAAAGTAGAATCATTTTTACACTACTAGGAGAAACCCTTGTTTGTACAAAAAATATGAATATATTATTTTGTTAACTTAAGTATTAACAAAGTTATCACCAAATCAATCGATCCACAGCTGAAATGTAAACATTTGCTCTGGTCCATAACTCCAAAGACATGCTGGTAGCATTTATTTGATTGATTATTGTTTATGAATATTTAGTGTACAGCGCACTCATTTTTTTTACATGTTTTGTATTTTCTGGTTTTCAGGGAAAGAGTAGCAGCAGTTCACTAATTGTTTCACTATTGTTTCAGAATATATTTTTTTTTTTCACACATTCATTCACACATTGTATTGTCTGCGGTGCAGCGCAGGTTTTTTCCTCTTTTTTTCTATGCTGGTAGGTTAATTGGCTCCTGTCTAAATTGGCCCTAGTATGTGTATGTATGAATGGGAGTTAGGGACCTTAGACTGTATGCTCCTTTGGGGTTAGGGATTGATGTGAATGTACAATATATATGTAAAGCTCTGTGTAAATTGACGTATATAAGTACCTGTAATAAATAAATAAATGGTATACAGGTGTGAGAACTGAAGTGGTTAAATGAGAAATACCTTTTGATCAACATAGAATAAAAATGTTTCAATCAAATCAAAATTATTTTAAAAAATACCTCCTTTGAGACCTAGTGACATCATCACTAGATGTCTTTGCTGTTCTTTGCTCTCAGTTTGGCGTAAGGAGTCGGCAGGCCCCTGTATATATCACATCATTCTGCCTCAGATCCATTTTCAAAATCATTTTCCAAAATAGCACATTCTTAGCATCCCTTTAGATGTGCCTGCTCCTTCCTGCTGGTCACTTGATTGCACCCTTGTACAGTCTGCTGATTGGTAGCTCGATCATGCATGTCTAAAGAAATGCCTGGGAGGTATTCTTTCATAGAGCCCTGGGGAAAAGAAAAAAGCTAATAGCTGTGAGAGGGGGACCAATGACAGAGCAGATCAGGGTAAGTCACTGATGAATAACTGTAGGCATTCAGACAGGAAATGAAGATGGGTCTAAGAGAGCTGTTGCCGCTTCAAAGGGCTATATAGCAAAGATGCGATTTTGCAAGAAATTAAGTGTAATCAGTTTCAACACAGTAGAGGACAAGTGTGGAAGAAAAAGGTGATGCTGGAGAACAGCTTTAAGGGCCCCCTCATGCCAAGGGGCGCATAGTTATGTTCTCTATACTGACTGCTTACCTTTTTTACATTGTTATTAAAAGGTCATAAAATGACATTTCATTCAACTTTATGCACTGTAACGAGTTGTGATGTGGTGTAATGAGTCGCAACATACAGCATAAAAATTTAATTTGTCCTATGGGCACTGACAGTACTCAATTCATGGACGGACAGTACTCAATTGTTCCTTTCGCAAATGCACTAATACGGCTACAATCACCTCAAGTCCTATGGGCACTGGAAAGGCAGAGCAGAGCGCAAT